GGGACAGCCGTTGCTTTGAGAGAGCCCTTCCCTTCTGGCTCCCCCCATGACAGACAAAGAGCTGGTCTGAGGTCCTGAAACACTGCGTTCTGTCGACATAGGTGCGGAGAGCACGTACCGGACAGAGCAGTGCCAAGGCTGGGTCTGCCTCCTCCAGGGGCAGCGCTTGCAGGTTCACCACCAGGTCCCGGAGGGGAGTGGTAGGAACCTTGGGCATATATCCAGGCCGGGGTCTCAGGAATACGTGAGAGTAAGCCGGCCCGAACTCCAGGCACACTTCGTCAACAGAGAGTGCGTGCAGGTCCCTTACTCTCCTGATGGATACCAATGCAATCAGGAGTGCTGTCACATAGGACAGGGCAAAAACTCTACCGACTGCAAAGGCTCCAGGGGAGGCCTCTGCAGAGCACCCAGGTCTACTGAGAGGTCCCCAGAGGGCAGGAGGGGAGGGAGGCGGATTTAGCCCCCTCACTCCCCTCAGGAACCTGATGACCAGGTCATGCTTCCCATAGACTTACCTTTCACTGCATCAATGGCCGCGACATAAATCCAAAGGGTGGAGGGCGACAGCCTGCGCTCCAACCCCTCTTGCAGGAAGGAAGCATGACTCCGATCGAACATCTCCGGGGGTCTTCTCAGCGAGAAGAACACCAATTGACGAAGAGGTTTCACTTCAACGCATAAAGGTGTCACGTGGACGACGCTCTTGCGGAAGTGATGGTTGCCGCCACCGCAGGTGGCAGCGAACTCAAACCTGCCTCGTCCCGTCCAGGAGCCACACGTGCAGCCTCCAAGATCGGGACGAGGGTGCCACAGAGTGCCCCGTCTCTGAGAGAGTAGGTCCGGTCTCAGAGGAATAGGCCAAGGAGGTGCTGTCGCGAGGAGCATGAGTTCGGAGAACCACGTCTTGGTGGGCCAGTAGGGGGCTACCAGCAAGACCTGCTCCTCGTCCTCCTTGATCTTGCACAACACCCGTGCAAGGAGGCTCACTGGGGGAACGCACACTTGCGTGGGCCCCGTGGCCAGCTGTGCGCCAGCGCATCCGAGCCGAGAGAGCCGCGGGTCAGAGAATAAACTGGGCGCAGTGGGACGAGTCCCGAGAGGCGAACAGGTCTAACTGTGCCTCCCGAACTGGTCCCAAATCAGCTGGACCGACTGGGGATGGAGTCGCCATTCGCCGGAGATGGGACGGGCCCGGGACAGCTCGTCGGCTGCCCGGTTCCGGTCTCCAGGAATGTAACTGCACGAAGGGACCTCAGGTGCTTCTGACTCCATATCAAGAGGTGGCGGGCGAGCTGCGACAACCGGCGCGAGCGTAGACCCCCCCTGGTGGTTGATGTACGCTACTGCCGTAGTGTTGTCTGAGCGGACAAGCACATGCTGGCCCTAGAGCACGCTCGGAAGCGGTGCCGGGCGAGCCGTACTGCCAACAGCTCGAGGCAATTGATGTGCATGAGGCGCTGGGCTCCTGTCCAGGAACCGGCGGCTGCATGCCCATTGCACATGGCACCCCAACCCGTGGTAGACGCATCCGTGGAGACAACGAGATGCCTGGAAACTCGCTGAATAGGGACCCTGTCCGTAAAAAGCTGAGGTTCGACCACGGGAAGAAGGATCGGCGGCACGTCGGAGTCACTGGAACTCGGAGCGAGCCGCGATGCCATGCCCACCTCGGGACTCGATCGCGAAGCCACAGCTGAAGCGGTCTCATATGAAGCAAACCGAGCGGCGTTGCCGCGGCCGCGGATGCCATATGCCCCAGGAGCCTCTGAAATAGTTTCAGTGGAACCGCACTCTTGCCCTCGAACTGTCGAAGACAAGCCAGCAGTGAGTGCGCGCGCTCGTTCGTGAGCTGCGCGGACATGGCGACCGAGTCTATCTCCATGCCGAGAAAAGAGATCCTCTGCACGGGGCAAAGTTTGCTCTTTTCCCGGTTGACCCGAAGGCCCAGACGGGCTAGGTGCCGTAGCACCAGGTCTCTGTGTTCGCAAACCTGAGCTCGAGAGTGTGCTAGTAACAGCCAGTCGTCGAGATAGTTCAGGATGCGAACCCCGTGTTCGCGAAGGGGAACAAGGGCTGCCTCGACGATCTTCGTGAAGACGCGAGGGGACAGAGCTAACCCGAATGGGAGAACGGCGTACTGGTATGCCTGGCCCTCGAAGGCAAACCGAAGAAACGGTCTGTGTCGAGGGAGAATGGAGACATGGAAGTACGCGTCCTTCAGGTCGATCGCTGCAACCCAATCCTGATACCGAACACATTCGAAAATGCGTTTGGCCGTGAGCATTTTGAACGGTAGTCGATGGAGAGAACGGTTCAAAATGCGCAGGTCCAGGATCGGTCGTAACCCACCGGTCTTTCTTGGGGACAATGAAGTAGGGGCTGTAAAGCCCGGACCTCACCTCGGCTGGAGGGACCGTCTCGATTGCACCCTTCGCCAGCAGGGTCGCAATCTCCGCTCTCAAGACTGGGGCATTGCCACCAACCATCGTGGAGCGAACTCCCCTGAAGCGGGGAAGAGACCGTGCGAACTGAATCGCGTAGCCGAATCCGATCGTTCTGATGACCCAGCGGGAACCCCGGGAAGCGCTAGCCAGGCTTCCAGGAAGTGAGCCAACGGGGTCATGCGAACCACAGACGTCCCCCCGGAGGGGCAGCGAGGCGGGTCGACCGGCATGCGTGCAGGAGTTACCCCGTCCGGATGCACCGTCGAAACCCGCTCCCCGACAGAAGAGACCAGGGAAGGCAGAGCGTTCCACGGGGGTCTGTTCTGCCGGGGGTCTGGCGACAGAGGGGGAAGGGATTGGCGTAGCCCGGGGACGACACACGCACCCTTCCGCGCCCTCCGAGACAGAGAGGAATGAACGGGGCGACGCACTGGACGTCGTGCGCGCTCATTCCAGTCTGTGTGCTCAACGACAGTGTCAGCTTTTCCTCAACCAGCTCAGGGAGCTAGCTAGAACAAAAGATTCTCCACCGGCCCTCCACCGGGGAAGGAGGGGCCCTGCCACCGCCTCCTGAGAAAAACCATGACACTATCACTGAGCGGCCCGCCTCAGGAACATCGCTTCGCCTGGCGTCTAGCGGGGCACGCGGCCTGAGGGGGGGCTCTTTTCTTGGGACGCTTACCTGTGGCCTCCTCCGCGACGCGAACCGGCTGAAGGCTGCTGCTGGGGCCGCGTGGGAGGGAAGGGAGCCGCAGGGGGGCGTCCTCGGCGGCGAGCTGGCGGAGGCGTCCGAGCCGACGGCTGGTTGGAGGCAGCAGCTGGCCGTCGGGGCAGAGAAACCGCCTTCGTCTGCTCCTAGGCGGTCGAGAAGTGCTGGGCAAAGTCCTGGACCGCACCGCCGAACATTATGATGCTCCTGGACCACAGCGGTGGGCATCACCTGACCAAGGGAGCGAGCGACCGCCTCCGTGACCCGTCTAAGGACAAGGTAGGCGACAGGCTCGCAGCTCGCTTGGTCCGTCACCTCCTCGTGCACATTCCTGAGCAGCTAGCTTTGTAGGTGCTCATCATATGCAGGGCGGAGGCTGCCTGTCCCGCCGCTCTACAGAATCGCGCCGCCATAGACGACGAGAACCCATAGGCTTTGGAGGGGCCTCTGAGAGCAACCGCCGGTTGACCGGGGGAGCCCCAGCGTACCCACAGACAGCCGCATCGCCGAGGGGAGGAAGGGCGGGGAACTAAGCACGCTTTTTTATTTTTTATTATTATTATTATTTTTTTTTTTTTTTAGTGCGTGTCAGTTCCGCATGCAACTCGGGGAAAAAAGGAAATTGGGGTTGGCCGTGGCCGTAAGGCGGCAGCGTTACCCAAAAACCAATTATTCAGCCGCGAGAGATCGGGGAGGGGCGGAGTTCCACCCCCACCCGATGCTCACGGACGCCCGAGATAGCACGGCCATCATCGCGGGATCAGACACGGCGGCGCTGACGCTCCCGAGGGAGGCAACGCGGCCGCATCCTCACTTCCCGAGGAGTCAAGCCCGCCTAGTGATGCTGTGATCGACATCGCATCATCATCTGGAGCGCTGCCCGAAGCAGCCGGTGCCACCGAAGAAGCAACCGACTGAATCGAACTAACGCTCGCTGGCTCTCGCACTGAGGCGGGAGGTGTGGCCCGAGGAATCGTCGGGGCTTTATCCCACACCATCACCGTAAATCACCAGGTCCCCGGGTCGACGGGCCCCCTATGGAGGAAACCGATCGAGCGGGGGGGACCGGGACTCTCACTCAAGTGAGATCATTGAGTCTCGACCTCAGTGTAGAGATGGTCATGTTCCCACAGAAGGAAAATGAGTCATCCACGAACGCCGCTGCTGCATGCTGAAATGCCCAGGCATACAAAGCAGCGATCGTGACCATCAGATGACGACAGAAATCAATCACACCCAGAAGAGCACGGGCGAACCGTCTTTAAAAAGACGTGCGCGTGCAGCTCTTTCAATGAGAGGAGGAAATTCACTCTTTCAGCGCTGAAGCGACCAGGGAGAAGCGCAAAGTCTGGCAGACCACTGCTCAGATCGCAGGCGATGCAGAATCTCGCTGGGTACCGCCGTCACACCAACACTGAAGAGGACGCTCGTCTCGAAGAGTCTTGAACAGTGCTTTCAGGAGTGAAGAGGTTCTCTTGGCTCCGAAGCGAAAACATACTGCGGTTGCGTTCACTTCCTCCTTTTATACTCACGGAGTAGGGCGGAGTACGCTATGCAAATTTCCGCAGCCCCAAGGCATTGCATGCCATTGGCTCGTGTTTTAATACTCGAAGAGGATTGGCTTTCTATGCGAAACCCCCCAATCTCCGTCACTTCTGACGTAACTCGAAGTGACTACGAAAGGGAACAATAATTGGACTTACCGCAATGTTCACGTCATGTGCCTTTTTTATTCTTTTCGAAGCGTTGTAAGATTCTTCATGTAACGTTAGTCTGTGCTGCTCATACTTTCGCTAAAGAGCATCAAGACGCTGGAGAGTCTCTGAGAAGATCAGGTTGTGGCCAAAGACAGATTGATCCTCCTATTGTGATTCTGCATCACAGCTGTGGGGCATGTGGATGTGATCATCCTCATAGTTATCCACTGCATTACTGACTCTCATTGATGCATCTATGGAAATATTATAACCATAAACATTTTTTACATTAGTAGCTACTTAAAATAGATCATGGAGAATTCATTGATGATGGCACCCATAGTTACACAGAACAGTGTGTGAGAAAGATACATTAATTAAAAACGAAACAATACACAATCTCCTAACTCGCCATAAGTCAATATCAATATCTGAATGAGAGATGTAGCTAGCTGGCCTACTAGCATCAGCAATCTCTGTATAGACCATTTCACAAGATGTAAACAACACTGGTCCAGAAGCACTTCCTGTTTCAGTTTTAACACTGTATAAACGTTGAGTTAAAGTACAACCAACAGAACAACTGAATCAAAAAGTTAAACAAACATATTCAAGATATTTTCTTTACATTTGAAATTAAGAAGCCTTTTACAAACTGAAACAGGAAGTGCATCTGGACCAGTGTTGTTTACATCTCGTAATGTGCAATAGCAGTAATGTGAGCTATTGTAAGACTAATGTAAGTTACCATACTATCTTGTACTACCGTGAATATTCATTCATTCATTCTTTCAGACTCTTAGGTCAATATCACAAAGTTAAATAAATAACATGTATATGTGGGCAATGGTAATCATGCAAGATTCATTGTATTTTGTTTACGGCTTGTTACTGATCTTAAAAGCATTCATAGAACGGACTTCACGAATCTAAAGTTAGGCAAACAAGCACATAACAGTTAGGCAAGTTAGCTTACCTGAATCTGACAATATTCAACACCCGGCGTGACTTCTTTATCGGAACATCGTAGCCGAGCCATTTCTGGGGTGTTCCTCAATCGGATTCCCGTCCTTAGGCCCTGTTAACACGAGAACGCTCGCGGGTGAAAACGTAAAAATATTTTATCGGATGTGCCTTTCGTTTACACGGCGATGGCGTTTTTGAGGCTCAAAAAAGCAAAAAAGTGAAACCACCCTCCAGAGTGGAAATCTTAAATCTTACCCGTGTAAACGGTAAAAACGCAAAAGTTTGCTTGACGGTGAAAGTTGTACGCAGGCGCGTGGACTTGGTGTTGTTGTAGTATGCACTCCTAGCCGCCTGAAGTGCATACTACATTGAATTTCACACACTTTTGCGTCTCCATTTGCACGCGGATTTCTCACACAAAACGCTCGTCTAAACGCAGAATAAAAAAAAAGATGACGCAACGCCACTTTTGCGTTTTCTCATCAGAATCGTTTCCGTGTTTAGCCTCAGTTGGGCACTTTCAAGCCTATGCTTCCAAATGTAGTGCCTTCCGCCATTGCCTCTGGTGCTCCTCGTCTGTGGTGGGTGTAGCTAAATCGTAAAGTGCACCACAACAACAATCTGACCGCCTCACATTATGTTCGTTACACCGTTGGTCCAATTGTTCTCTCCTCTTAATCCAACTGTTATGGCAGCACCTAACTGAACATTTAATACTTGACATATTTTACCGTTCGTTTCAACTAGCGCAGAATCTCATCCCTCTCATGAGCCGGAAGTTGAAGTCTTTCTCAGACGGGAGTAAGATGACAAAACGAACGCAATGGCGTCACCCTTGTTGTCGTGCAAAATAAGGTGAATAGAAGAAAACTGTTTCCAAACCTCGAACTGTTCTCTTTGCTTCGGGAATGCTGTAATTTTAAAGTATTTTTCTCGCGCTTGAAGCCATACACTAACGTTATTGGTTGCACCTCCATTACGTCACCACATTTGTTGTGTTTATGGTTGTGAGTGGTGAATTTCAAACCTCAAAACGCCCCCTTTTCTTGCAGCTTGTTTGTTTGCGGAAGGACTTATTCACTCAAACCACAAACCTCGGTATGACGCGTTGCAAGTGAATCTATTTAATTTTGTAAATAAATATGATGCAGCTGGACTCTTCAACATGGAAGGATAACCAGCTGCTGACAATAACACGGGAAAGCCCGGTGGTTTTGCGACCACTCGTTTCACATCATGCATGCCCAAAGAATTAACTCTGCCAAAACCGTGATGTCATTGTCCATCTCAGTTCAGATCTCATATAATGGTGTCAATGCAGGCAGTTCAATAACATTGTTGAATATTAAATAAAAATGTCCCCAACTAAGCAAAGCCAATGGCGACAAATGTTGTTGTCTGCAATTGGTAAAACTTCACAATAAAAATTTAGATATTCTGAAATGTTTCCCTGTATTTTTTATTTCATTAAATATTCAGATGTTTTTGTGAACGTATATTCATGGTGTTTATTTTGTCCTGTTTTTATAAAAGAATATTTGATTAGGATACTTTTTTTCATACAGTGGTTTTAAGGCCCCACAGGCGACATAAGCCAACCCTAGAGTTGGCTTTAGTCATTGCTAGTTCTTTGACGTCGGTTTTCTGTTTCAGGGCCTTAAGAATTTATTTACTTTTCTGTACAAAAAACTTGTTTGCTGTAGACCAGAGATAATTTTCAATCCTGAAGTCCTCTGCCACTCCTCCCTCTGAGAACAGCCAGCACCCTTAGTGTCAGTCATTAACATATGAAAGGTCTTCTTCACACCTCTCACACCCAGCAGTGGATTCCTGTATATGCCCGCTTAGGTGAGGTTTCCGGGTTTGTCTGGAAATATACTGTTCCGTGTTACTCTAATCCGCTTTTTCCCACATACATCCAGCAAACATCAAATTGCACAGGAGTTTACCATGCCCGGATATTGCCGGATTTGAGTCTTTTCATGCAGTGCAAGCTTCCATTGTTTTCCAAAAATGAGCTTGAACTGTTTTTTCTTCTCATAATTATGAAAATTAATCTTTCATTAGTGTTTGTCTCCCTCTGCTGGTTCAACACAAACACATTCAGGATCTATATTTACATATTTGAGTTTATATTGTACATTTATACAAATAAAAAGGTTAATCTATGAATGAGAAAGTGTAATTTGCTGTGAAATAAAAGGTGTTTCACTGCCGCCTCGTCAGGTCTGTCAGATGATGGTTGAAATCTAAATGAAGTCTTAATTTCTAACAGTGAAGTCACTGTATCTTCAGTCTCTGTTGATTCTGTTGACTGTGAGTCTCTGTAGTGGATCTTTATTCACCATCAGATGATCAGCAGAACATCAGACTGGCCTCGAATACCTAAAATAAAACACACACACAGTCACATATGCAGTATGAGATATTACATCTGTCACATCTTTACATAAGAAAACTAACTAGATAGTCTATATTAATTCCTTCTCCAACATGATAATATAGCTTCTATCTGATGCTCAAAGTCACTTTACAAAATCAAAAGCACATGAAAGGTCACTTTCACACAACGGACAGCTGATCCAGAACCAGCAGAAATCATCATTACACTCAATACAGATTTAATATCAGTTAATAACAACCCAAATCTCAGATTATCACACACAGTTAAAGACAGTTCAAGGGGAAAAGATGAAAATAACATTCATATTATTCTCACAATCAGTCACAACAGTATGAGCAGAATTACACTCATATTAAACAGTTTAAAGTTCAGAGACCGACAGAAACTGAAGCTGAATTTAAGACTCATTATCTGATCATCTCAGACACAATCTCCACACACACACACACACACACGCACACACACTAGTTTGTTACTGAACTTGAACCTTTATTATTATTTCTAGCGAGTAAAACAAGTAAAACAGAGATTTGAACTTTAAATGAAAATATGATGAAAATCGTTAAGAACTATTCTTACTCTAGTGTCTTCAGTTTATAATGTGGATCATCCCTCAAATCCTCCAGCTGCTTCACTCCTGAGTCTCCTAGATTATTATTATAGAGATTCAGATATCTCAGGTGTGAGGGGTTTGATCTCAGAGCTGAAGCCAGAGCAACACAACCTTCATCTGTGACTCCACACTCCCACAACCTGTAGAGAACAATGACACACATTAAGCCTATATCCAGAGATAAACACAACACTTAAACCAGTGATTCCCAACCCCCGGTCCGCGGACCGGTGCCGGTCCGTGAACACGTTAGTACCGGGCCTTGAAATATTCCCAGAATTTTTTTTCCCCATAATAATATTTGTGTTTTTAAGATGCTTTTTAATGCGTCATGTTATTTAATACAAAACACAAACAATAAATGAATACAATAAATAAAAATATTAAAACGTGTTTCTTTGAGCGCCTTCCGATTGCTTAGCAACGCATCATATCTAAACAGACTGAGCGCGGCGAGTGCATGGGTGCGTGCAGCTGAAGTGACAGAAGTGCGGAGAGATGAAAGGGCTCAGCAGACTTTAATGGCTAATTTCATTGCGGACAGTTCCGGTAAAAGGAAAGGCGATGACCAACTTGAAATATAGAGAAAGAAAAAGAAAAATCAAGCTTCAATCGTAAATACGATACCTCATACATAGGTATGGATTCACGACAACAGGCGATTCCGTGCGTCAAATCCGTTGTGTGTAATTTGTGTTGAAAAACTCTCCAATGAAGCAATGAAGCCGTCAAAACTGCAGCGGCACTTCACCAAACATCCAAATCACGGTGTGTTTGCTATTGTATTCTGAAACTGTTACTATATTTGACATTAACACCTGCCAACCCGCCAAATGCGGGTGGATTTCCCCCACGGCCGGTAACCCAGTCGCTCCTACTAGCCACTTTGGCGTGTTGAAAAATTGTAGCCTTGTCAAAAGACATCTGACATAACAAACGAATTGCATTTAGAGAAGATTAAACTCGCGGACTGGCCGTTGGACTGAAGGCTGTTTTCGTCTGCGTTTAATTATCAACTTAATGTGATAATATAGCGATCTTTTTTAAAAGCAGGGGAATCCAGAACATAAGCGCGTGACGCACGTCTCAAGCTCTACTGCAGTGCCGCTGCGCGAGGGTGCCCGCGCCAAATATGACATCCAGACATTTGTAAAACAATCATCACACGCGACTGGTCGTATGCACACACACATCAACACAGCATTCAGTCAGTTCGTGAGTGTGCGTGGCCGATATAAAGAAAAAATAATCTTCATGATTTATGGACACTGTGTTACTAGCAGGGCTGCCCTTATGCCACGTCATATCACAACTATATTTCCAGAGTTAATTTTATGTTTAAAATTAATCATGCAATGAAAGAAAGCAGGAGATGCGTTTGTGGGAATAATCTGGAAAATAAAAACCTGTAGGCCTGTACTTGTTTCAGATGGACATATCCAGTTGATGATAATTATTAAGTTAGAGCTCTGAGGAAATTATGCAAAACAAACAATTCAAAGTCCCCAAAACTGTCATAAAGGCCCATGTGAAGTTGTATAATCCTGTTGCCTTAATTGTGGATTTTTTCTTAGAAAAAAATAATGTATTCTTTGCTCATTGTTTCTAATGCAGATACTTATTCTACTCTGTATTACAGTATTTGCTGCTGTTAAAAAAAATGATGCAGCAATTTTATTTTATGTAAAAAGCTATTTTACTGTATGTCTATCTTAATAGACAACATGTTTTCAAAAAAGGAGCTTTACAACAGAGTTAGTAAATTTTAGCATGTTTAAAGCCCCTTTGTCAACTTCCAACGTCTATGCACCTGCTAGTGAGTGAGTGCTATGTGGGTTGCTTTTGAAGTAGACCTAATTGAATGGCAGAAAAGAGAAACTTTTTGTGAACCTTTCTGAAAGTTTTAAAAGATTGGTGTGCAAGGAGCCTTTGTTGCCACCTAGTTCATTATATGCAAATAAATTATATCCTGTTACTGTTTTGCACAGTGATATCTGATATGTTCCGAATCCAAACGGTGCATCTTAAAATTGAGGTATTCAAACTGACAACTGGTCCCTGGAATTTTTTTTTATGAATATGCCGGTCCCTGGCACAAAAAAGGTTGGGAACCCCTGACTTAAACTATAAATAACATAATGCTGTCAATATGAAATATATATTTCATATTCATGTGTGTGTGTGTGAGAGAGAGAGAGAGAGAGAGAAGTATGTATGAGTGTGTGTGTGTGTGTGTGTGTGTGTGTGTGTCAGGGGCACAGCTGCACATTTGTTGAGGGGTTTGCAATATCAGTGTTGGTGCCACCCATCACACACACACACACACACACACACACACACACACACACACACACACACACACACACACACACTCCTCTCTACCTGGCACACCTTAAAACTCACCTCTTCACATATCTTAAGAAGAGCTTGGCCGGACAATCGACCTTCTTCCCTTTTTGTACATGAAACTTTTTTTGTGTGTACAAATGTTCAACGGAATGCTCCTGCAACGATTGGCAAAGCCGCATAATCAGCTAATTTATTTAAATGGTAGATGAACTGTTAAATTATTTGACTGCTTATATAAATGGACTTTTGGCCTACATTAATCACTGATTTGTCAATTTCACTGATTAGTCAATTTACCTTTGCTGTAGGTGTGTTCCGGGATGCTTTCCCATGCTCACAATCCCGGATCACTCGCTTGGTTACACACAGTGGGGTGTCTTCACAATAGTCCTCCACTTGCCACACTAGCCTCGCCTTCTCATCATCCTTTACCTTGACAGACCTTAAGAGAGAGATATTTTGCAAAACCAAAGAATGTGGAAGAGGGAGGGGAACTAGATAACGGTGTAACGCAATGTCAGTTATGTTATGTTGAATGACTGATTGAATTTTG